GGGGGGGGGGGGGGGGGGGGGGGGGGGGGGGGGGGGGGGGGGGGGGGGGCTCCGCCGATGGTGACGACGACCGAAAGAAGCAGCCTACCCTGCTGGAGCTCGGCCTCAGCGGTGACGTCACGGAGGTGCGGGACGTTTCAGCAGTAACCAGCACTGCTTGTGTGAAAGCCGATGGTGATTGCTCTCGCCTGAGGCCCAAGATTTTCCGCTCAAGGCCCAAAATTTTCCGGTGGAGTGGGGGGGTGTGCAGTTTTTTGTCTTACCCATGGGTATTTCTCGTCGGGTAGATCTACTTGTACGGGGCTACGTATCCCGGCACCACAGGTTATGCTCCCCTCGCGTTATGCTCAATTCATTGGAAGTACCAGGCAAATGTGCCCGCAGACGCGGAGCCGTAGCATTTTCCCCTGAAACCGTTCCTCGGGGTTGCCGCGTATCCATCAATATATGCAGTTGCGAAATGCAAACTTGTAGGGGCGGGACTACAACGGATGCTGTGGTGACTGAACTGGTTTCGAGCTCATGGCTAACGGATTTTTGTCCTGCTGGTTGGATTTCTACTGGAAGACAGAGGTGTCGTCGTTGGGCTACAAAGGTCTCAGAACGGAGACACGGCAGAAACAACGACAACAACAACAATCACAACAACAACAGCAGCAACAACAACAACAATATCAAAAACAACATCAACAGTCGGATCGACCATGCCTTTGCCGATTACCACCTGCCACCGACGGCGATAGGTGCGAGAGATGGGTGCCGCGGGCGTGATGGACGAGATAGAGCGCATCGCGGTGGAGACGGCGCTGAGCATCATGAAGGGGAACGGCTTCGGCTTCCGAGTGCCGACGAGAAGCAGCGGCAACCAGAAGTACGTCGAGGAGCTCGACAGGATCGTCCTCGGAGATAAGGTAGGTGATACATAAACGTTACATGCCCTTTCAGCTCTTACGCCGGACCATTTCCGGCGAGGACAGGACATTTAAATTCGAAAAAAATGGAATAGCAGGTGGGTGGGTGCGTTTTGTTTTGGGTATTTTTTGTTTTTCAGTTTTGGGGACGCGATATGGGACGCCCGCGTGATCCTACCCGCCGATGATATGGACGGCCGCTCCTGACTGAGCCTACAGCTTGTCTCCATTGGTTTTGCCTCCTATGATTTTTTGTCCTTGATTGGTGAAAGCGTTCACTTGTGTGTGGTGTGCACGACAAGGCGCGAGACGCCCGCCCCGCCCTACCCACCGGTGGTATCGATGACCGCTGTTGCTTTGCTGAGCGTAGATGGTCTTCAATGGGGTTTCCCCTACGATTTTTTATCATTTTTTTTTTCAACTCGCCCTGCCGTATTTGCCGATGATAAGGATGGCCGCGGTTGCAAAGCCTGGCTGGTCTCCATTGGTGTTGCTTCAAGGTGTATGCTCGTTTTTTGTAGGGGACGCCCGCCTAGTCCTACTCACCGATGACATGGATGGCCGTGAGCCTAGCTGGTCTCTGTTTCTAACGTGTACGCTCGTTTTTTTGCGAACTTTTCCACCTGTGTGTGGTGTGCATGATTAAGTTCGAGATGCCCGCCCCGCCCTACCTACCGATGATATGGATGACCGCTGCTGCTGAGCCTGGATGGTCTCCATTGGTTTTACTCCTGCCGATTATTCTCGTTTTTTTGTTGTTGGATTGTTGTCCACCTGATGTGCACGGTGTGTGTGCTTCATGGTGCATTGCGCCGTTTAAGGTTCCCGTGGGAAGCGGTTTTCGATGCTGTCGTTGCTTCTCTCGTTGCTGCTTCTGTTGTTTGTCGCTAATGCTGCTGCTACTGCTGCTGTCGTTGTTGCAGTTGCTGTTACCTTCGCCGTTGAGGTTGCTTCTGCTGTAGATGTGACGGTTGTTGTTGTTGTTGTTGTTGTTATGGGTTCCTATCTTGTTTTCCCTTCCCTCGTCATTCTGCTTCCAATTTGCGT